TATGTGTATATGATATGTAAATATATGTGTATAGATATGATACATATATCTCCCCTTCTTTTATTACATTTATTTATCACATACTTATTATGTTCAAGACAGTGTATGATCTCATTTAACTTTTACAGCAACTCCATGATGCAGATGCTATTATATCTACAGGTAAGGAAACAGAATCAGAAACCTAGGTGACTTGCCCAAGGTCTGTCATGAGGCTGGGCAATAACAGAGACAGAACTTATGCTAGGTGGTCTGGGTTCAGAGTCACGATGTTTTCTACTCACCATAGAAAAAGTCTGTCTTGTTCTTTAGGACAAAGTACAGCCTCAGCTCCCTTGGGAGAGGTTATGATTTAGATCTAAATGGCCCTTAATGCCCCATGTGTTTGGAAGATGATTGGATTACCAGGGCATCGTAGCTAACTTGGTGTTAGAAGATACGTTCTGATCAGAAGAGGCAGCTTGGTTGTTGGAAGGGGGTCTCTCCGTCCCCAGCTCCTCCTTTCTATCTCTGCTTCCTGGGCACCATGATGTGAGCAGCTCTCCTCCCCAGACCCTTCCACCAGATTTCGCTGCCTGGGACCCAGTCAACTGTGGAGTAAAAACGGGGACCAAAATTAGCCTGTCATCCCTTAAGTTTCAGGTGTCAGGTATTGTGTCTCAGTGATGAGAAACTAAGGGCGTTTTCTGCCCTCACCTTCACTGTCTATTTTCTCACCTCAGTGGACTGCAGGTCTGGGAGCAGGATTTGCATTTCCCTTTGTCTCATCATCTCATTTTATGTGGGCACTGCCCTGGGACATTATTGGGAAAAATATTCCTTCCTATACTGGGCAGATGAGGGAAAGGTGGCTTTCAGGATTTGTCTGATATTATATAATTACTTTCTGGCAGAGCCAGGAGGGGGACCTAAGTCTTCATCTATAGTGCTAACCTTTTTCCCTGGAAGAAAAAATGCCAACAAATCCCTTAACACACAATTCAGAGCAGACAGCAGAGTTTAAAGAATTCTAGAATTGCCAAAAAAAACAAAACCCCATAAGATCACCTAGATATAAGCATGTGATTGCCAGGCTTAGAAATTAGAGATGACTTAGTCAAGACTAACGAAAGCGAGTAGAGAGATTGGGGAAATGAGAAGAGAGGAAGGAAATACAGCCAGATCTGGAATTTAGTCCTGACTCTGATACTTAGTTCTTGCTCTCTGACATATAATATAAAGTATAAATTATTCAGATTCAAACCAAGCTCGCAGTGTCTTTCCTGTCATTGTCCATGGCCTGTGTACAAAGAATAGTTTTTCTCTTTGTAAAAACTTCATTTACTCCATCTGGTAAAGGCTCTTCTTATTGGGGTGACTTACCACTTTTTTTTCCTGACTTGTGTTCTCCTGCAGACTCTGACAGCTCCTCCAAGTGTGGCCTTTTCATGCCATCCTCCCTCACCACCCCCAGCCTCCCAGCCTTTTGATTCCACCATGGCTACCAGGCCAACCAATCAGCCACTGCTTGTCTCTCTGCCATCTGCTCTCTGCACACCCAACTGAGGCCACTTCCGAGTTGTCATCCTGAACCAGTGCCACAACTGCTAAAATATTGATGGCTCCCTTTGTGAAAAATAACACCAGGAAGCTTCTTATTATAAACCGAAATTGCCAGAAAGGCAGAAACAATGAAATGGAAGAAATAAAGCAAATGATAGGAGAAAAAAGTGTTCCAGAGTGAAGACAAAGAAGGATTTCCTTAGCTGCATCTTGCCATCACGATGATGCTGGGATCTGGCAGTGGGAAACGTTGTCACCATTGACTGAGGTTCACCATCCTGACCACCTAAGTGTGTAGCAAAGTGTACCCCTGGGGTTCTGTCCAGCTGGTTTTTGCCTTGGGCACCCTGGGAGAGAGGATGAGGGAAGGGCAACAGAGATCAGAAGGGGGAAGGCAGACTGTGTGGATAAAGGCTATAGGGCCTTCCTGTGGGTACAGTCGCATGTCGCACATTGGAGTGTGGAGAGCTGAAGGATTCTAAGGAAAAACTGAGCTAGACTCACAGGCAGAGAGATGCGGTTCCATCATTTGTCCAACCTTAAGTAAAGAAAGGACTTTGAACTTTGTTTTAATTATTTGATCTCCCCAACCACACCCTGTTATCGTCATTCCTGGTATTTTGGCACAAATCACAATGCTAAGTTGTATTTTTAGAACAATAGAAAGCAAAACATGATACGTGTAACATAGTAAATGTTCTTATTTTTATTTTTTCATGAAGGGGAGAATATAACGGGCTGGGGTCAGAAGCATCACAGGAGGAAGAGAGCTAGGGCCACCTCTGCAGATGACATCCCCAAGCTAACACAGACAGAAGCGGGTCCTCAGAGCAGCCTTTCCCACCCACAAAACCTGGACCAGTCCAGGCGGGTTTCCAGCGGCGCCTCGTGGATACCAGGCACATGCCAGCCTTCCCAGGAGTCCTGGGCAAGCCTCTAGCTGCTGGTGACTCAAACCTCACTTGTCATTTTCAAAAGCCACCTGGACACTCTCATCTCCCCAGGGTTCCAATCTGAGCCCGATTCTCTGACACTTCTCTTTTCACTCCTTTTACCTTGCTGGAGACTGATTCACACAGGTACCACTGGCCCCACGGCCATTTTCATCACTGGGTTTGGTAACAGTCATCTTTGATTTGAGGAAATTCTCCCAACCCTAAGTCTTTCAGCTCTGCCCTCAAACCTTTCCACCTCCCTGTTTCACCTGCCAGTCCCTTCACGTCTGGAGCACAGAGCTCTGCACTTGGACTTGGCAGCATGCAGGTCTCCTGTGGAGAGGGAAGGTGGATGCATGGCCCCCTTGAGGCTGAAGGCTGCTCGTGGTGAGGACGCTGGGTGTCAGTGGAGCAGACTTAGCTGGAGAGAGCCTTCACTGTACCCCTCCTCAAGCTGTGCCCCTCCCTCCCTCCAAGTTCACCATGCTGAACTTGAAGCTCATTTTACAGTAATAGCAGTCGCAAGGCTGAGGCAAGTTCTCCAGGAGGTGGGCTGGAGGTGCGCTTGCTGTATGTGCATGTGGTGCGCAAGGAAGCCATCACCAGTCATGTAAGATGGTTGCTATGGAGCGTGTTGAAAGTGAAAAGCACAATTTAAATCTGGATTTAATTGTAAATGTGACACTAGTCAGGAAGGCCCAGGAAGCTGGCACTGCAGCTTCCAGCTCAGAGAGTAAAAAAGAGAGCAGTAGAGAGCTATAGGAGTTCCAACTGATGTTAACATATGTGACACCCTCAGGACTCCTGGCCTCTTTCCTTTCACTCAGCTTTAGTAGCTGGCATATCTAAACACTTGCAAATTCACAGTCGTAATCAGTCATCTGGCACATTATGAACTTCCACTGGCGATCCCTGTTGGGAGAGTCAAGAACTTAATGTCAGTGAGAATGGTCACCTGCTGCAGGAAAAATCACAGCTGGGGGAGAAGCAAGGAAGGACATCTGCAGGATCTCAGGTCTGAAGGGATATGTAACCTCAAATTTGCTTAGAAGCTTTCTCTTTGAAGTCTCCAGTGAACCAACAGGTCTTCGAGGCCAAGATGCCCCTTGAAGGGGACCAGCCAGGTTACTGGCCATGGGGAGGCTCCTGGTGCTTGCTTCTCATGGCTGTTCCCCACAGTGCCTCAAGGAGCTCTAGGCTAACAGCTTGGAACAAAAGCATTTCCAAGGCTGTCAGTCTATCTTCTCACTGATTCTTTCTTTCACTTTCTTTCTAGCACTTTCTTTCACTTGTGCTAGGCTCCAGGCCAGGCAGGATGGGTTTCCCTTCAGAGAACACCGTCACAGAGAAAAGAAGGGAAGGCGGGGCAGGGGGCTACTCTAGAACCTTCTCAAGTGAGAAACAGAATGGCAGCCATTCTGGCCTATCAGAAATAGAGTTGCTTATTTGTTGACGTGGTGGGGGTGGGTCTTAGAGAACAGAGGATTGCCCTGTTTTGAAAAACATGGTCTGGGTATGTGTCAAGGAATGTTCTTTGCTAAGGACAAAACCATGTTTTTCACTCAACCAGTTAATAAAATCTATTAGGCCTGACACTCCTGTGGCCTAGTAGCATTGAACAAGAGTCACAACTGTAACTATTACATGATGAGCACTTCAGTATATCCAGCATTGGACTAGATGCTCAACATGCTTTCTCGATAATCTTCACAGTGATCCATTATTTCCATGAAGAAGCAGGTTCAGAGAAATAAGTGACTCGGTTGGTCTAAGGGGTCACAAGTGATTGGTGATGATGGCAGAATCCAAGTCTCTTGGACTCAAATCTGGGTCTTTGACTTGAGCGACTGCTCTGTCTCCCTAACTAGATGCCCATAACTCCACAGGACGTGGCTCTCATGCCCTTTACACAGTTCCATTGAAGGGCAAAAATAGAAAGGTTTTCTGTATTTAATCATGCAAATATTTCCAAAGCACAGTGGGGTCCTCTCCTTTAACTTCAGAATGATCTTGCTCCCTTTTCAATCTTTCAAGCTCTTCTCCCATTCAGTTCCACCTCACAGCAGGCCTGCCAAGGCCTCAGCTCAGCTTCTCAAAGGCAGTGGGGCTGACCACTGCAGTCTGGGTGGGGTGGTGCCCTGTCCCCTCACAGCCTGAGGAGGCTGCATTGTTCCCACCGCTGCTCCAGATTGTTTGTTTTAGGGCCCTTGGGAACAGAGATCCCAGCACAGGCCTTCCAGGGCCTGAGTGATTAGCTATTCATTGGCATTTGCTCAGGCAAGTGTCAACAGCGGGCATAGCTTGTTTTAGATGTTCAACAAACTCCTGGCATGTGTGTTTACCAAATGAATTGCATTGTTGCAGCCAGGTTTTAGGTATCTATACACCAAGAAGCAAAGGTAAACACGTTTTATGGTCAGGTATTCATATTGCTCTTTTAAGAGAGTTAAATTCATATTGCTTGTGAATGTCCCAGCCTAAGGTTTTGTGCTAGAGCCCCCTAAACAGACACAGACAGTAGGTTTTTCGTGTTCTTTCTCTCTAATCTCTTCCCCTTTTCTCTGTTTTTCTACAACCTAAAATGTGAGTCACACAGAGGCCCAGGATTAGAAAGGGTCCCGGTTGGCAGTGGAGACTTCCGTGATCATTTTTGTCTTCTGCTTTCATGCCTGGTGACAAAAATGTCCTTTCTGAGACTGAATGAGGGGAAGAACTTAGAACATACAGGGTCACCAAGTTTAAGACTCTTCTCTGGGGAAAGCTGGACTCCATCTGCATCACATCACTATGAGCTGAACTCCTGAGGATGATTCATTTCTCATTGCTTCCTGATGAATAGCCAAACCCTCAGTTAATCCTTGATTAAGAAACTACAATAGGAAAAATCTCAGACCAAAATTTCTGCAAACATTGTCCTGGCATGGAGTTAGTCTTACCTCCTCTAACCCCCCACCCATGGGCCATTCTTCTCACCTTTCCACTGCCGAGAAAGTGGTGGTGGCCCCCCTGATGTAGTAATTATAGCTGTGGGAAACCATGTCCATTTCCTCCCCATAGTGGCCTGGATACTCTGTTGTCAGCCTACATGGGGAGAACAAAGGATTAGAGGGAAAAAAGATTTTTTTTTACAAAAAACATTATTATCACTGAGAGCAAACAAAAAGCATACATGAAGAAGAGATGAAATTTGGACATCTTGGGAGGTCCAGCTGAAGTTAGATGTGCTCCAACAGCCATTCCAAGCTGCACCCTTTTTGCTACTTTCCACCTTCCCTTTTCTGGCTATTAAACTTACTGGCTTTTCTGGCTATTACACTGACAAAGACATAACTGGCTCCCCCAGGCTTTGAAGCAACACTGAATAATATCAATGTTAGTCCCATTCTATTTGAATCAATCAGGGCAGTGTTTCCAAACTGTGGAGTGCGGCTCATAATTAGATCACAAAATCAATCGAATTGGTTATGACCAACTTTAAGAAAGAAGAAATAAAATAGAACAGAATATCAGAGAATGCATTGCATGCAGTAAAGACATGTTCATTTGTGTGTGTAAAAATTTTGTTTCAAATGTATATGTGTGTATTTATATGATATACACATTGGGTGATCGTTTAATATTTGTTTCTTATCATGAGTCATAACCAAAGAAGTGTTCAAAAGTATTTAACTAAAATGTAATCTCCACATAGATGGAGCTTTTTCCTTGTCTACAATTATTTTTCTGGGAGCTAAAACAGTTCCTAGTACATAGTAAATATTTGCTGAATAAGTAAATGGCTTTGAGAGAGTTGGTCTGTTTCCTAATCTGTAGAAGAATTAAAGCCACCTTATAAGTTTGTCACTGGGACTAATAAAGATATGTGTGATATAATGGTGTTTGTCAGGTGTTAAATTTTAAAAACCTATTTCCCCTCCCCCCTCCTCCTCTTCCTCCTTCTCCTTCTTTTCCTTCTTTCTCATTTCTCTGTGAGCAGGCATATTGTGAGGTATGGTCAAAATATATGGAGACTATTTAAATTAAAAATATTTATTATAGTAAAAACTATTGCCAGTAATTGCCCTCAAAATAGTCCCCTTTGCTTCAAACACACTTATCCCATCGTTTTTGTCCTTTTATGAAGCAGTTCTGGAAGTCCTCTTTTCTGAGTGTCTTTATGAAATGTGACCAAAAATACGGTAAATGATGCTGCCAAGTGCCTTCCAACAGAAAGGCAGTGTAGTGTGTCCTTATCCACCTTATTTACCAGACCTAGCACTGCGCAACTTTGAGTTCTTTCCCAAAGTCAAAGTGACCAGGTAAGTTAAATATCTCGAATGGATTGAGGACATCGTGGCAGCCATGCGAGTGCAATAAAGACACTCACAAAAGAGGGGTTCCAGAACTGTGGCAGAAAGTGGCCAGAGCAATGGGATAAGTGCGTTGGAATCAATGGGGGAGTACTTTGAGGGGCATTAATGGCAGTGTGTCTTTTACTGTAATAAATCTATTAAATGTAAACATTCATTATATGTTTCGATCATATCGTGTATGTTCTATGGTAGAGTAAATCTAGAATCCCCTGGTTCTCATGAGGGCTTTGGATCAAAATATTCCTTTCTGCATGCAATGGTGCCTTCCAAAGTTTATCTGGACCCCTAAGGCTGTTCAGGAAACAGCTAGTTACTCAGTATCAGCAATTTGATTTGATCTGTATTTACCAGATCATTGTATATGCATGATAGAAAGATCTTCTCCTATGCAGACTGGCTGATGATCTGTTTCTCAAGAGTGTTGAGACTGTCATGAGGTCCTGAAGACACTGATTTATAAGCTGGCAGGACGCCTAGGAAGATCTCAGCGCCTGGGAACTGCAAGGTCAATGTGAGCCAGATAACTGGGAGTCAGTGAGAACCTAAAGCCTCACTCTCTTGGCTCAGAGTCATTCTTCTTTGCACATTGCTCAATTATCCTTATTCTCCCATTTGTCTTTTCTTAAGATGCAAGTGTATGGTATTAGACGCCAAGCCCCAACCCAGAGAGGCCGGTGTGTGTAATTGCTTATTATATCCATGAAGGGAAATGAGTTTCTGCTAACTCAGAAACCTATTCTGTGCTTCTGAGGACCAACAGCAGGACTTCTTGCTACTGATGAAAAAGCCAGAGTTAACTGGGTCATAAGTGGATCTAATTGGGCTTCAGTGGATCTCATTGGTTTGTGACCCCTGATAAGGACTGTACTAAGTTTATCCATAGAAAGAGGGATTATTGGAGGGAATGCTTTTATTTCAGGGAATGTAAAATATTTTCCAGAACTTTGGAAGCACAGTTTGGATATAATGTATGAAAGTTAATTACAAAAAAAATTTATTTCTGCTAAGGTAGTATCTGTGTTTGACAATTGTGCATTAGGCCAAATCAAATTGCCAAAATAATTTGGCAATAATCATGTTAGGTTTTTATTTTTTGTGCTTACACTCTGATCTGTCCTCAGATTACTTGGATGGCTAAGTACATTTGGATAAAATAGGAACAGACAACTTGCACTTTTGAATAAATAACAAGTTTTAAGCTCTGATGGTGAAAAAATAGTTATCCAGTAATTTCCTTAACAAGGATTCTCTATTACTTCATTTTTGGTAGGGAACAGACCGGGACCTCTTGGCCAATTGGACAGTTTTACTGGGAAGCCTCTTTGTGGGTGGATACCTAGAACGTACTGGAGAAAGTGAGTTGATTCTCATTGGTACATTTCTACCTCTGTCCGTCAGGCTCACTTTTGTTTAATTTTCTGTTGTCATTGTTTTGTTTTTATGTTAAAACCATGAGATGGAGTTTATACTATCTTACAGAGCCCTGGGATAAGGGGGATGGTGAAGGAAGTTAGATATTGATGGAAATCACTACCACTTTGTGAAACTAAAAATATAGAGGGAGAAATGGCCCCAATCATTGGTAGAAAATGACTCCCAAACACCATCTATAACAAGAACTTTTGTCTCAATATGGCTCAAGATTCTATATTTTTGAACCAGATAGATGTATCTCCATTTAGCTGTTGGTGACATCACATACACACACACACACACACACACACACACACACACAAAGCTTTAATTAAAAAATATTCCAGTCATATCTCCTGTTAAAAAAAAAAAATCTTTCGCAGCTAGACACTGAGACAAGGAATAGGGATTTGTCTGGAAATTAAACGAGGCTACAACGAAGCAGACTGGCCAGGGTTCTCTTGGCTGTGGCATTGGGAGAGAATTTGGTGTGGTTCCAGCTTTCTTGTGAATTATTAGGTCACTGTAGGCAGCTTTTAGGGATAGTCACTTCATACTAAGCATTGCCACACTTTTCTAGCCCTCTTAAAACAATCAAAGAAGTCTTTGGCTTGGCAAGATGAGGGGGAAGATAGATCAGGAAGGTGTCTTTATTCGGCTTATTGAAATAAATCTATGTTTAAAAGACTTCCACAGGGAACCATTTTTACCCCCTTTTAAAAGCCGTGTGTGTACGTTTTCATGTCCCAGTCATTTTTGGATGAAAGTATATTGAGGTACAATTTCTTACTCCCCAATGCTTTCCTCTTGTCTCCAGGCAAAACAAGAAACAGAGTTTTTCCAAAGCTACAAGTAAGAGACAATGTGATCACACAGGACCATGTGGACAGCTTCTTGCATCAAATGAGGTTGAAGGAGAGAGAAGAGAAATACTATCTTACTTATGAGTGGAAGAAAGCCAGTTCTAACTGAAGAGATGTTTTAAGATCGATATAGTACTCTCTCATCCAAGATTCTTTAAGGACTGACATTGTCAGCAGATCCAACTCCACTCAGTGAATATGTGCGGACAAATACAATATCACAGACCGAGCTGTTGCCAACCAATGCCAGGGCTCCTATGCCATGGGAATAGGACTTGTCATGCAGCTCAGGTCAGATACATACTGCCATACCCATTTTGAGAAGGGCTAGAGAGCTACAGTGTATTTCCATAAGGTTGCCAATTTTATTCATTGTCAGAAGTATGGGTGAGAACTGAGTTTCAATTTATTCCTTGATGTAAGATTGTGTGGAAACCCATCTCCACTAGACCTTATTGATTCTGGAGTGCTTGGACCTAATGTCAAACATTGCAGCTCTGAGATTTGCCTGTCGCAGCTCTGAGATTTGCCTTTCACAGCTGCCTGACCTGCAGGCAGTTGGGACACCTGGATCATTTGGAGTGTCCTGGAGGCTCCACTTTGGGTCATTTGCTCCTATTAATACCCATGTGAAGAAATGTGGCCTTCTCTGATGCCCCCAAGTCAGTGAGAGTCACCTCCTTGATCTTATCTTACTCTCTGTAGAGAAAACAAGAAAAGCACACATCACAGACTCTACTGTAAAAATGGGGAGAAAACACCAGCATTATCTCATGGAAATGACCAATATAGTGAGTGCTTTGAGGAATCACTGGTATGTGTCATCCTAGTCATCTTCTTTTTGATCTAGTGCTGAAGAAGGCAGAGGAGAAACTCAGTGTGTGTGGATTTGATATGCTGAGACTGGCTGATGTTCTATAGTTAGCTAAAAATAAGACAGGCTTTTCCAGCAGGCAAATTATTGAGAATTTTCAACCCCCTTGCACAATGCTTTTCCAGGTAAGCTACAATGAAGGAGAATATTTCAATTTAGATAATGTTGCTAATGCCCTGGCATCCTTAACAGGTGCTGCAGCAGAAGCTGACTGAATTATTTTGCAAAGATAGGAAAAGTAAAACCCACCCCCCAAAGAACAAGTACCCTCACTTCCTTCCCAGGAAGATGGGGAATGGCCAATTGGCCCGAGTGACTAGGATCTGTGCAGTCACCCAAGTGTCCTCTGCATGGATGGCTGCACCTTGGGGCTCTGGGCTTGTGAGGAAGGATGCCAGACGTTCATGTCCTCTTTCGGCATTGGGTGGGTTCATATTTCAAACATTTCAGATGTGTAGCACAACCAAGGGAATATAGCTTCAGCCATATCTTAAATTAGAAGAGGAATGTCCCTGAATAGTTTTCAAATGGTCATTTGGAGGGCGGTTCTAGCACTTTGTCCAAGCCCAGAGCTGGTCCGCAGCACATTTGCTCTGGCTCATGTTGACTTGCGTTGACCACATCACATCAAGTCTACCCTGGGGCTGAACATCAGTAGTGACAGCTCCACTCCATCACCTCCCTCCAACTAAAATAACCACTTGCTTCTCTGTCTTCACTACCAGATACCCATTGTACTGTTGCCTATTGCTTTGCCTGTATAGTCCCTCCACAGAGATCGGGAGATAGAATTTGGAGGCAGATAGGCCTGTCTGAGTCAAGTTACACTTTCTGCTCCTCAGCTTCTTCATCTGTACAATAGTATAAGAATTTCTGTGTGTGGGGATGAAATGAGTTAATGTGAGCACAGGATAGATATCAAAAACAAAAGTCATCATCATTAGGGACAGGATCACAATCTATGAATTGCACTTATTTTATACCCATTCATATAATGTTGACTGACTAAGTGAATTAATGAATGCAGAAATGAATGATTGCCTCTAGCATTCTGTAGGGGGGAAAAGACTAGGTAGAACAAAGCCACAAATTTGGTCTGAGCAGCTAGCAGGGCCTGGCCTTGGGTTAAATGGTACTCAGACAGCCAGCCTGTTCTCTGAAACGTCTGCTTTTGAAGTCTGAGCATGGGGCGAGGGTCGCCCACATGCAGGCAGGAAATATATATCTAAATTATAAATACAGCTTGGTAACTGTGACAGCCTCTCTAGCTGATGAGAGGGACAGGACAATTGATTTTGCTCAAGCTGCAAGGGGCTGCCATCTGCTAGAGTGATGCTTATTAGGGGTTGTTAGGAAGGCACAGAAGCATTCTCATCCCAATGCTGGGCCTGGAAAATGTAACACTTCACCTCTATCTTCTCAAAGTATGATTATCTCCATCTTCCTAACAACCTCCAGTTTGCTAAGAGCAGTCAGTGTGGAGACTGGCCTTCTCCTGCCTTTCTCATGGTACAAGGGCCTGTGAGCTCTTTTTGTCCCCAGTACAATGTTTGCAGGGAGTGGCCTTGCAAATACGCCCCATCTTGTATTCAGATGTGAGCAATGAAGACGGGAATGAAAGACTAACTTTGATCGGGTGCTTGGAGTGTGAGAGGGGAGAGAAAGGTCCTACTTACTGGATTTTATTGTTGTCAGTTCAGGCTATCCAGGAATTAAGAACAACCACACTCTGGCTTAGGATTTGGGCTCAGAGAGCAGAAAGGTGGGCAGTGGTGGATGCAAAGTCAGTGAGATGAATGAAAATGTAAAGGTCATCTCAGCTGATGCATTATTTTGTCTGACTGAATACATTATCCAATGAACCTACTGAATGACCAGGGATTGGGAGAAATATCATTTAGGGGAAGGAAGAGTTGCTCAATTGAAAACTCTCTATTCCCAGGACACACAGCCTCCGCTGACCGGAGACGGACTGGTGCACATTGTGCAAGCAGCTGAAGCTGCTTGGAGAGTTACAACTACTTTGTCTCTGAAGGGTTGTGGCTCCTCTCCGGACATGTGTTTGTGGTTTTCAGACCACTAGACTAGGAATTTGAATTTTTCCTTTATAAATAAATATGTGTAAAATGTACATGTGCATCCAATCCAGTGGGGATGTCATGTCGACATCAATCAGGAATTCACTTTCTTGCCAGAGTGGAGTGATGCCACCAGGGAGCTGCACACACTGAAATCCAGCAGCACCTTGGTTCCCACCAAACAAATAAATCCTGCGGTCACTTGGGAGACGGTTGATGATTTGTTTTTTCCAGCACAGAGTGGTAATGTCTCAGAGTCCTTAAGGGCGCTCACAACAGTGCTGCAGAATATCTTCCGAACTGAAAGAGGAAATGTAGACCCTTCTGAGGAGTGCCAGTTCCCCGGGAGGTAATTCAAGCCGGTTTAAGTGATGTAAGGAAGAGTTTCAATAAGAGCACAATCAGCACCTTCGATCGGGAAGGTGCTGGAAAACAGTTCTCACTTCAGTCTGAAGGGCTTTTAAAGAGATCAGATAAAATAATGTAGAAGAAAGAAGTCTTTATCGCCTACAAAGCATCATCATAGCAATAGCAGACTTAACCATCGTTGTTGTTCCTAGGGGCTTGTAACTTGCAGGTATTTGCAAATTTATTAAGGCTCCACTTTGTAGCAGGCAATATGTACAGATATTGAAGGAAGAAGACCTGATTTATGCCCTGGAGGCTTCACTAAATTCAGAAAGACATAATGTAACATTATGACTCAGGCAATTCAAAGATGCCACTAAAATGTCTAGACACCTGTGGGGTAGTGAGTCATATACTGTACCATGGGGTGTGGTACACACTCCACACTCTTTTGCTGCTTCTTCGTGGTTTCTTTCGAAAAAGCACCATTTGCTTTAGTAACCATGGTAGCTCTTGGCTCTAATATGGTCAAAAATAAAGCCAATCAAATTGAAGCAAAAGTTAGTGGGATTCACTTCAAAGTTGAGCTGCCATGCTTTTCTGAGCAATTCTCCCCTCTATCCTAGGATTCCGACCAACTGCACTGGGTCTGGGCATGGGGTTTAGTGAGGGAAGAGAGGGGGTTGGAGGCTTGGAGCGGGGGTGGGAAGATCACCATAGACCAAGGCTTGGGGTAAATTTTACTTGTTCATTTCTATTTGTCTATTGTTAACCGTGGGATTGTTCCTACATTCTATCTGCATACTCATGAAATTTTTAGCATCTCAATGCATAAGCTGTATCTAAAGGAAACTTGAGAAGTCCTTTCTAAATTATGTGAGAGGGAGGGCATCTAGCATTTGTAGGAAGTGTTTGTGCTGACCCGGAACCAGCTCCCGGTGACCATTGAATCCGGTCTAATGAGTCTGGAGCATCGCTAGAACAGTAGTGGAACCTGAGACATAAAGACCTGTCTGTTTCAGGTCTTAGCATCCAAACAAACAGGATAAGCTTCAAGCAAAATGCTGGGTTAACACGGATCACAGAGATCCGCTGAATATAGGAGGAATAAAAGATTTAGGTGTCTCCCCTTAGTGCCACCCTTGTTTCCATCCATTCCCTACCTCTGCTGTTTGACAGCTTTCTTAAAATCAGTGAGCCTCAGGTCCTTGCCTGGCTGACCACTCAAAAGCCTTGGGTCCAAGCCCACTCCCCATTGTCATTCTGCTTGGCAGGCTCATTCTTCCTCACAGAGACCTCAGGCTCTGGTGATGAGGGACGTGGCTGCCACGGCTCCTTTCTCCTCACCTGCGAAAGAAAAGTCTATGTGCCCTGACAGACTGTCTGAGGTGACACACTTGTTCCCCTGCATATCCAACTCCAGTCACAAGTTCTGCTCCCTACAAAGCCATCTGGGCCCTGACCTGATTCTGGGCACAGACTGCCTTTGAAAAGCTTGTTAGTGGTTAAGAGGTTGGTCTCTCCCTCCACTGGGAGGGTGAAAGGAGCCCTGCCTGTGAAGGTTAATGTTGACTGTCAACTGGATTGGCTACACAGATTCCTAGCAGATGAGTGAAACACTTCTGGTGGTGTCTGAGTGGGTCTGGGTGTGACCTTGAGGACTATATCTGGCCCCTGGCCCCTGCTTCTCTAGTATCGTTCCTCTGTGTTCTGCTTCCTGGGCACCATGAAATGAGCTCTTTGTGCCACCATGCCCTTCTGTCATGATGTTCCTGCTTTGGAGCCAGCTGACTATGGACAAAATCCTCTGAAACTGTGAGCTAAAAATAAGCCACTCCTCCTTTAAGTTGTGGGAGTCAGGTATTTTGTCCCAGCAATGGGAAAGCTACCTAATACATTGCTTTAAGACTGGCCAGCTCTGTTTCATCATAATCAGTGGCAGTGCCAGGCATATATCTCATTTAATTCTCAAAACCAAACTAGTGAAGAGGCTGAAGTCATTCATTCATTTAACAAATGTTAGTGTCTGCTGTGTGCCTGACATTTGAAACCCCCTTTAGGGAGCAGGAGGAGCCTCTGCTCCCTCCTGCAGCTGCAGATATGAGTGGAATTTGAGCTCTGAGTTTACTGTTTGTCAGGACTTTGGAAAGAACTGTGCTAAGCTTTGGAGCTGTCCTTCCCTTGAGGCAGTGTGGGCCTCTCGGCCACTGTGAGGGGACGCTGTCTGGCTGCAGAGAAACTGTGCAGAGATAAAGTGCCTGGGTGAGCCAGTCTCAAAGGTTGTCGCTTTTGGATCACTGTGTTCAAGGCAGAAACGCCTGGCTTGTTTGCCGACCAAAGGACTTGGGACAAGCTGTGTTATGAGTTATCAGGGTAAATATATATATTCTCCAAGTCAACTAGAAGGCTGGGTCAGGAGGATGTTGGTAGCAGCCAGGGAGAGGCAAAGGAACAGCATAGTACAGGCTCTGATGGCAAATTGATCCAGGAACAGAAGCGTCTTTCAGTGTGTAACTGTTTACTAAACTCTAACGCATGACGGGGCTGCTTCTCCCCGAGGGACTGCAGGAAGATAAGGTCCCAAACAGGCCCTGTAGCCCTGGTTGTGTTGAGAAGCTGCCACGATGGAGGACATAAGGACAGGATTCCACGGCTGAGCTTAAGACTTGGTACCCCAAGCTGGGCACAATGGCACATGCCTGTAATCTCTGCATTTTGGGAGGCTGAGGCAGGAGGATCCTAAGTTTGAGTCGAGCCTGGGCAAGTTAGCCATACTCAGCTAACTCTAGCATGGGGATCCCGGGGATTGGATCTGGCGCTCAGACTCACCAGCAGGAATATGGACACCTCTTGCTGTAGCGACAGCAGTAGAATTGCCATTCCCGATCCAGCACTGACTCGAAGTACCGGCTCTGGAAGCCCGCCACCAGTCCATTGTTGGAGCACGTCTGGTACCTGTGGGGAAGAGGACAGCCCACCCAGGAGCCTGAGACACCGATGGGTAATAATAGACCTCGCCTGCCATAGTCACACTCTTTCCCTGACCTAGATTCCTAACAATGCATTGCATTTTAATATACAAACAATGGGCTTTGCTGTACTTGCAGAAATGACACACGCTCACCATTAAAATTCAGATGAGGGAGTCAGAATCTTTCACCAGAAGGAAGTTTTGGGGATACTGTTCCTGATCTACTTCTATGAATATGCAGTTAGATGAAAGAATACATAAATGGATGGTATGAGTATTGCAAATACAGGATTCCATATTATTCATGCCATTAAAATAAAACTATAAATTAATTTATTTGAATGTAAAATGAAAAGAGGACAAAGAGAAATATTATGAATGAGTGAAATCCAGACAAACATTTCATTCTCTACAGAGCCCGTGGAACCGAGATGGGTGCAGTGATTCGTCCAAGGCAACCCAGCGGGAAACTGCAGGTCCTCACCACTTAGCCAGGAATCTTTCTCCCACCTGTCAGGCCATAAGCACCACAGTTCTCAGAACCTGCAGAAGGCCCTGGGACATGGGGCTCTCCTCACTGAGTAGCAGCAGGCTGCTCCCTCCAGGGGTCCCTTCCTTGCTACAACATCATCCTAAATCCTCAAATACAGTAATTTACCCACTGTGGTCCACCCTTCAGAAAGAAGTTTTCGTCTTCCTTCTCCCCATGCTGCTGCTGGTGGTCTAGGAATTGGCCCCTTTTATCTTTACAGCACTTCGCTAAGTAAGTGTTGGCTTTAAGCAATACAATCATTTCTTCCATTTTTCCAACTCCAGTACTTCTGTCTCCCATTCCCTAAATCCTACAATAAAGTTTGCTCCCTTCTGCTGAGATGGGAATCCGGTGTTCTCTACTCGGACACAATGAATACAATGGGTTCCCACCATATGCAGAGTGCAGTGTTTCACAGAATACCTTAGTTTGCTGCCCATTGCTGTAACTGAATGCCAGAGTGGGTGATTTATAAAAAAACAGAGGCTTATTTAGCTCATGGTTCTGGAGGTTCAGAAGCCCAGAAGCATGATGCTAGCATCTGGGGAGGGCCTTCTTGCTGCATTTCATTGGGGAGGCATCACAGAGCAAGACAGAGCAATAGTTTGGATCACCCTTCCTCTTCTTGTAAAGCTACTAACGCTAGCATAGGGGCCCTGCCTTTGTGACCTCACCTATTCGTAATCACCTCCCAAAGGGCCACCCACCCACATTCGAACTTGGGGATTAAGTTTCCAACACATGAACTTTGAAGAACAAACTCAGATTATAGCACAAGCCACTCCAAGGTGGATCTGTAGCTACCTCTGTTTTTTTCATTTCCCACTCACCTGGGCCATTGATCTGTTCTCTTCAGGAATGAGAAGAGCAAGCAGTGGTTGTTTATGTTCACAAGTAAAGATAAGTTTCCAAAAAAAAATAATAGATAAAGTAAAAATAAGTATGCCATGCTGATTACTGAGAGAAACTTGCTGGCATGTAAACATGCATGTATCAGCTGCTGGATTTCATTTTATTCTTCCTGGAAATGAACTTGTAGAACTGACAAAACTAGATATTAAATATATTTCTCATCTCTAGTTGGAATATATCTCTCTTCTGCATTTATCATTCACCTACTCATCCATGCACATATGTACATTTGAATATGCATTTATTTATTCATCTGCCTATTCAGCAACTTACATTCTGCTACTATTCAGTGTCAGTCATTTATACTATGTCAAGAGAAGCATTGCGACATAGACTTGGTACTTGGTCCACCATGCTCTCAAGACTCATAGAAAATTACGATAGACTAGAGAACTCAGCTACAGGGGATCAGGAATGCAATTTAAGGTGTGAATTGAGACCTAAGGGCTTTTTAGGATCTGGCCCTTTTTACTGTTCCATCACTCACACTTTGTAAATGCTTGGCCCATTTGGGGAAGTCACATGATTGAAATGGACTGAGAGGGTCATAGTATGGTGGAAAGGTAGCTTTAGGGGCTGACATTTGGGGAAGGTCTATTTATTGTGCTTCCTAGCATTGTGGGTGAGAGGTCACTTCATTAAGAGCTCTCAGAGTCACAAGCAAAGCTCTTGTATGTCTCAAAAAAGCAAGGGCAGCACAATGGTACTGGATATGACTTCCTCTTTTAAGATACTGCCTTCCTCTTTCAGCACTGAACTGGGCTGTGGTTTCCCTGGAGCTAGTACACCACTGTTTTGGTTTGTCTTGTGCACTCAGACCCTATAGGGAACAGAATTCCAGTGGTGATACTTTTCCTTAAGTAAAAATAAACATAGGAAGATAAGAGGACCAGTCTTATAGAGAACCAATTCTGAAGGCAGCCCACATTTATTAATTCTCCATCTACTGTCAGGCAGCCAGCCCCATATCACTTGCTCACCCACCCTCTCAGATAATGTGGACCCTACAGGCTCTGAGCCTAAGAACGTCCTATGAGAGATAACCAAGCATTAGCCTCCGCCCCCTGCTTCAGTTTGATTGCCTCCACCTTTTTGTAGAGCAAGCCTGCTTGGAAATCTGGTAGTGTGGAATCATAGCTTCCAGAACTTGTAAGGGTGCATATTCCCATTGTGGAGAGCAGTGGAACAGAGTAGGTAAGAGGAGGGGCTATGCCATGGGACTGGTACTCCCCCATGTCACCTAGGATGGGCCCCATCCCTCTACTGAATGGCCTTGGTCTTCTCAACTGTAAAGTGGACAAATTAATAGCACACACTTATCAAGTTATTGTGAAGATCAAGTAAGACAAGGTATACTAAATTCGTAAGGTAGCGATCTTTTAATGTCTAATATAACGATACTTTGGTCCATGAGCTTAATTCCTTCCATGATTCTGATTGCAACCTAATTGCAAGCATATGCAACCAGAATCATGGAACTAATTTTCAACCAGAATCCCGGAAAGAATTAAGTTTGTGAACCAAGGTACCACTGTACATTTCTTAGGATTATCACTATACTTTCACGTAGTCTACACAGTAAGTGTGAGTATCCTTTGTGAAGCTGCCCATGGCTCTGTGTTTCAAGTCTTAAAGTGCTAATGGATTCATGTGTGTTCCAGAGTTACTGTTTCCCCATGACAAAGCTTGCTATGTTGGACGTCTCAGCTATCCACTCCCAAAGATAGACGCTTCTGTAGGTCTTCTTACCCCCAATAGACAGTATAGTCCTTGAGGGAGAAGGTCATTTAATCTTCATTGTGTATTCCTCATAATGCCTGACACTTGTCCAGCAAGTGTTTCCTGGAAGAATGAGCACACAAATTGACTTGGAAGAGCCCGTTCCTCAAGGCCATGAAAGGCCCTGAGACTCCCTCCCACCAGTGCTGTGGAAACTGGGTGGGTGATCTATCTTCCTGCTTCCACCTCCCTCTCCCTCAGGAACTAGGGCATGAGGGTGCAAAATGAATATAGCTTTGCACATTCCTCTTCTCTGTTCCATTGCTCTCCCTCTCGGCCACTTGTTTTAAAAGCTCCTTATATAACACGACTTATCTGAAGATGGGTCTTGGATGCAGGATTGAAGACATAAGAGCTCGGCAGGTGAGAAGAGATGTGAGGGCCACTGATAGGGCTGGGGGAGCTAGAAAGGCTGGCATTGCTAAGGTGACTCCAAGTCTATTTAAAAAGATATAGTGAGGCATCCAAAGACTTGTCCGAGGCACGTGCTGATTCACTTCACAGCACCTGCTCTTTGCTTCTGAGTGCTCTGTAGTTCAGAGTATCGGCCAAGGCTGCAGCTTTCCTGGTGATTTTCGACTTGTCCCCAGCAGAGGCTGCACAGGGACGTTCCTTTGAGTCATGAGGTCCCAGTGTCCTGCTTCAGAGCTCTCTTCTTCTTTTTTCACCATGACATGGAGACTCAACTGCAGTTTCACACACTAGAGCAAAATTAGTCTTGCTCTGCCTAACGCTAGGAACTCTGTAGAAGGAGAACCTTGAGGCAATTGCTCTTCCTCTGACAACATCTCTAGACCTGCTCGGAGAAAATGGCCTTTCTGAAAAGGTTTAATCCCAGGGCCATCACCTTGGAGGTACCGCAGACTTCTGCATCTGCCCTACTAAATCAGTAACAGTGGGCTGCAAGCCAGGAGCCCACACTACAGAGTCAGCAGCCAGGGGTTCTAGTCCCAGGTCTGGACTTCACATACCTGAGAAGCCTCACCTAAGCCACCACGGGGACTCCATGAAACAACACTCACAGGACCCTTGGCCAAGATAGCAAGTGTGAGAGCCAAGGTCCAAATTCAGATGATTTTAGGCCAAAGTCCACATTCATGAGCTCTTAGGGAACAAACAATAGCATCTACACTATTTCTTTCTCTCTCTGCTCAGTAGCTAGTGGGATTTCTCTTTGTGGTCTGTATTCTTCATCAAATCCAGGGCTGTTGACGAGGAAACAATAGAAGGCAGAAAGAGAAGATGTGTGAGCATCTGGTTTTGTCTACGAACTCCTCTATGGCGTTTTAATCCCTCCTCCTGGTTCCTGCTGGTCTCAGTTCAAACTTCTAGGAAGTCTGAGCTCTTTCCACCCCCTTACAAAGTTGGCAGTGGGGCTCAGCTGGACATAGAACAGGATAAACAGACACAGTACCATCTTGGTCAGTAGCTCTCAAATTTTATAGAATGGACAGACTGTTTGTGCCAGTATTTTCTTTCCAGGGCTACAGTCACAGAAGTGTTTCAAGGGCTATGAGAGTTCTGTTTGTAAGCTCTCTGTTTTGGAGAACCATGTGCCATAGCCTCTTTTCTCCCTAAAATTTCTTCCCATTACACAAAGGTGGAAGGGCTTCAGTTTTACCAAGAGTTTCACTCAGAGTGAGGCTTTGACTTGTTAATTCTGTTTTCCTTGGGATAACTCTTTGAGTAGCTATCAGGGGTTTCCAACTTGGTCCACAGAAGTTTGGAGTGGTCATTAAGTCTTTCAATAAATATTCACTA